CAGCTGGACTCGCACCCCCTTTTCACCCCTGTGAGCTGGGCCCCGGGGGACAGCTGGACTTACATACCCTTTTCACCCCTGTGAGCTGGGCCCCGGGGGGCAGCTGGACTCATCACCCCCTTTTCACCCCTGTGAGCTGGGCCCCGGGGGGCAGCTGGACTCGCACCCCCTTTTCAGACTGTACTCTTGTCCCTCTGTGATGGGATCCTGTGACTAACAACAGAGTTGACAGCAGCGGCTCTCCCTCTGATCCCACCGTGCCCTCTGGGCACACTCAAGCCCATGGCATCGCCCTGCGGATGAATGACTCATGGCCCGGGGCTGAGGAATGCAGCGGGCTGGGCCAGGTCAGGGCCAGGGGTGCAGTACAGGCTCCCCTCCTCCCCCGGAAGACTCCTCCCTTTGCTGAGCCGCTTCCCCACAGCACCCAGGATGGCGTCACCCCCATGCCCAACAAGCTACAGCACGGGAGGAACAGCCAGCATCTGCCAGGCAGAGCAGTCAGTCCGTGCCACTCTCCCGATCGGAACATTCCTGCTCCTTCTCCATCCTCCAGTGTAGGAACCTGACCCTGCGCAGACACTTCAGTCCCCGGAGGCAGAGCAAGCAGGTGGCCTGGCGAGTACGGGCTGCCCAAGTCACCGAGCCTTCTGTCTGCGGAGCGAAGTCTGTGACTCAGCTTCTCTGATCCCTGGTCAACGTGGTACAAACCTCTGCTGTCACAGGCCCAGCCTCGGCAGAAAGAACTGGGCTCTCACAGGAGTGGAGGGTGTCTCGGGTCCCCCAGCCCTGCCCTCCTCCGGTGGCAGGGGAAGGGTGCCCATATTTTCCTCCTGGAGAGTCTGTGCGTGGCTGCCACTGGGGAGAAGCTCCGGCTTGGGCGTGAGCTGGGCCATTGCCAACCTCCCTGGTACTCCTGCTCCCCAGACGGCTCTGTCCTGGGCCATCAGGGGACTCAGGTTTCTTGGGCTGCTTTGCTGGTACAGGCAGCCTTGATCCCATCTGCTGGGACACTGTCTCCTTGAGCTTCAGGAACATCTGTGGCACTTGGGCTGTACATGAACCTCGCTCCCTGTCCAGTGGCTCTCCTGATCCCCCCCCCCCCCCCACAGCCAGCTCAGGTCCTGAGAAGTAGGGCAGGGTTAGAGGTGGGCTGAGGCCCGTGATAGGCTGTGGTGACCTGCTACCCCTGGGCCTCCCCACATTCTAGGAAGCATGTGAAACCAAATCCAAAAGTCTGCAAGTCCCCGCTCCCTCCAGAAGGACAGAGGCCTCCCCACGTCTCGGTGATTCATGGTCCACTGAGGATTTCACCTTGTGTGAAAATTTAAAACCACAACTCTGCCCTGACCCCCCCTCAGGTGAATCAGGAGCTGACTAACCAGCTTGTGATGTGTCTTCTGCCTTCCGCCTGTGTGCTGTCTGGTGTTGTGTCTGGGATGAATTTGTGTGCAACACGTTACTGGCCTTTTTTGACGGCTTTCAGATCAGTTCAGTGACATAAACTTGGAGTCCTGTTGTCCACACATCATGCCTTTATTCCCGACTCCTGCTGTAATGCCTGCCACCAGGAAGGACTCAGAAGACCAGAAACAGCTGGCCTCCCTCTCAGCCTCACTAGCAGCCGGGAGGAGAGGCCGCACCTGGCCGGGGGGCGGGGGGGCGTCCACTGTAGGTCCGCGCGCCACAGCCGGCCGCGCTCGGGCATGGAGTGGGTAGGGTTTGTCTTAGTGCCTCCTGCTCTCTCTGCAGGATAAGATCCAGAAACTGTACGAGCGGAAGATAAAGGAGGGGATGGATATGAACTACATTATCCAAAGGAAGAAGGAATTTCGGAACCCCAGGTATGCTTGCCGTGAGCCCACAGAGTGATCTAGTCACAGATGTGAGCCACGATACCCCCATGGACATCCGAGTGGGGAGAGGCCCAGCCCAGAGCCCAGATGGGCCATCTAACCCCTGTGTACACACCACACACAGCCAGCGGGGCCACACTGACCTCAGGGAGCCCCAGCACTGCACTGGGTGGCTGGGGCCTCCTCAAGCCCAGACCCTCTGCAGGCCTTGCCTCCCTCACGTGTGGTTGCAGCAGGCCATCAAGTAGGATTGTCTTAGAACTCTGAGAAGTCCTTGATCCTGTTAGGGGCAGCTCTCTTGGGTCCTGCCTTGTCCAGTGCTCATGTGAGTGCAACCCCAGCACCAAGCCTGCTGGATCAGCCCCAGACCAGTGGTCAGAAATGTCCCAGCAAAGCACAGACCCTGTCCCAGCACCGTGACACTGTCCTTGTCCCTGCCCCACGTCGCTCCAGTTGGCAGGGCCTCTCCCTCCCGGTCTGAGGCTTCCTTAGAACACTGTGGGTTTAAAGGTTTGCCTCAGCTGGGGCGTTGGCTGGTTCTGGTGGAGCTGTGGTTCTGCTCACCCCGCTGTGCATTCTTCCTCCAGCATCTACGAGAAACTGATCCAGTTCTGTGCGATTGACGAGCTCGGCACCAACTACCCAAAGGTAAGACCTGTGGGCGGGTGGGGGGGCCTCCCGAGCAGCCAGCCCGGAGTCACAGCCGGTTCGTACAGTGGCACACCACCTCTCCTGTTCTGGAATAGTCCATAAAGAGGCTCCAGCCTCTTCTCTGGTTCCCGGGCCCTGCTGAGGGAGGATCTGAGTGGCCAGCGTCGGGTGTTTCTGGACAAACGCGCTCAGTCACTCACTCGAGTTACTGAAAGCTTCCGGCACCTTGCCAGGCTGTCAGGAATGACAGTGATTTCCTGTGTCCCAGGACTTGACAACTCCAGGTGGGACTCAGGAAAGAGACTTGGATTCTGAGTCACGTGGCTCTGCTGACTGGCTTGCACTTTTCCTTTTGCAGGATATGTTTGACCCCCACGGCTGGTCTGAGGACTCGTACTATGAGGCGTTAGGTACTGTTTCATCCTTCCTTCCTTCCATCCATGTTTCCATCTGGCACATACTCGAGGGTCCCCTGTATGTCAGACCCACCCGGGGGTCTGCATTTGTCACCTTGAACGAGACAGACTTCAGTCCTGACAGAATACAGAAAAGGCCGCTGGTTCCCAGCAGCACTCCTAGTTAGGGTGATGGGTGCCAAGTGCAGAGGGGCAGCCAGTGGCTTGCAGGTAACCTGCTGAGAGGGCGGGAGGAGCTCAGTGAAGGGGCTGGCCAAGCGCATGCAGGTCGGGCCCCAAGAGTGCTGTTTGGTGTCGTGAAGTTGAGTACGACCCATAGAGACTGTGAACAACAGATCTGAACCCTGTCCTGTCCTGTGTCGTCCTCACACAATAGAGCCCACTGCGGCAGTCACCGTGTCAATCCACCTGGTCAAAGGTCTTCTCCCTCACCCACCCTCTACCTTCCCAAGCATCCTCTCTCCAAAGAGTAGCCTCTCCTCGCAACATGCCTGAAGTATTGAGGAGAAACCTCATCATCCTTGCCTCCAAAGAGCACGCTGGCTTTTGCTGACATATTTATTTATTCTTTTGGCCTTCCATGGGAGGTTCAGCGTTCTGCTCCAACACCACAGCTCGAGGGCATCAGTTCTGCTTCTGTCATCCTCATTTGTTGTCCAGCTCTCAGATGCATAGCAAGAAGTGTGCTGAGGCACCAAGAAAACTTTCTGAGGCTCCCTGTGGAAGGCTGGGGGCACGTGAGAGGGTCCCAGGCCCTCAGCCACAGGCAGGTCTCCAGCCCGTGCACCAGATCTGGCCTCTGATTGTGTTCCTGTGTTTCACCCGCACAAGGTTGTTCTCATTTTATTTTGAACCAGTTGCCAACAAGTTTTACACAAGTGCCCGCAATTCCTCCTCCTGGTCTGTGGGAGGGCAGCGTGTCCGTACGGCAGCTCTTCTCAGCTTTTCCCTCCAGGTCGGCTGTGTAGTCCACAGCCCTGGGCCTTTGGATTTAAAGGCCTTGCTCTGCACTGGCCTGGAGCCAGCCCCGACTTTGCCTCCCACAGATGGACACCTTTAGTTGAGGCCACTTTAGTCCACTACACGGGGTGAAGGGGTGAGGAGGGCAGGCGGGTGGGCCCGGCTTCTTACGTAGGGAGCTGTTCTTTAAACAGCTTATCTTGTCCTCACAGCCAAAGCCCAGAAGATTGAAATGGACAAACTGGAAAAGGCCAAGAAGGAGCGAACAAAAGTGAGTGGTGAGCAGATAGCAGAGTGAAAGGGCAGGTGTCTGGAGGGCGGGGGCCTTCTAGCCCAGCCCAGAAGGTTCCAGGCCATTCTCCACAGCCCCCCAGACACATGGGCCTTGCCAAGCCGAGCCCACCCTGCCGTCTGTGGCTTCCCTTTGGCGTCTTGGTTTGATGTTTTGCACTCTCCTTCCTCATTACAACTGCTGTGCCCTGGTGCTTTGTCCCTGCGCTGTCAGCGGGGCTGCCCTGGCCATTTGCTTCTGACCACTGGCCAGGTCTGCTCTGGCCTGTGTGTTCCTCGGACCCTGGAGCTGGAGACCCCAGCAGCTCCTGCCTCAGAGCTGCCCAGTACCTCACATCTGGTGGTCTGTCAGCCCCTCACTGGGGGACCCTACAAGTTGCTTCCCCCTTGCCCCCGAGCAATGGGGTGTGAGTCCTTCAGGGACCATGGACTTCCTGTGAGGCCAGGGCTTGTCCTCTGGGCACCCTGACCGCCAAGGCCCCTGGTTTGGCCCATCCCTCCTCCACGTGACTGTGTGATCAGGGACACTGTCGTCAGCCCCAGGCTGGAGGGGTCCTCAGAGGCTTCCAGAGCATGGGCTCTAGGGGGTGACCGGGTTCTCATTCCTGACCCTTGACTGTTCTCCCCTCTTTTGCTCCCGCTGCACACCCTGGCTTATTGCAGAGCCCTGTCCGCAGCCCCTGGGGACAGGAGCTGGATGTGAAGGAGGTGCCTGGCCGCGTGGCCTCAGGCGTGTGAGGGCTGGTGGGTGGGCCAGGCGACCCTGGGAGGCTGGGGTGAGGCTGGGAGTGCCCACATGAGAAGTGTGAAAATCCACTTCCACGTTGACCTCCCCACGCCCACCCCATGCCAGTCCCAGTGGCATTGATTTCTGTGCGTCCTTTGTGACGTGACAGACACCTGTCCCTGGGAGGGCGGCCTTGCCCAGCTCTCACTCTCGTCCCTCCCTTTCAGATTGAGTTTGTGACGGGCACCAAGAAGGGCACGACGACCAGCGCCACCGCTGCCACCACCACCACGGCCAGCACGGCCGTCGCAGGTGAGGACCCTCTGTGGCCCCAGGAGGCCTGGCTGTGTCTGCTCCCGGGGGTCGCCCAGCCTTGGGTCCGGGAGCCTTGGGCCCGTCCGCGGAGGCTCTCCTTCCGCAGGCGCACGCGGCCGCGTCATCTCAGTCTGACTTCTCTTCATTTCCAGATGCCCAGAAGAGGAAGAGCAAGTGGGACTCCGCCGTCCCCGTGACGACGATCGCCCAGCCCACCATCCTCACCACCACCGCCACCCTGCCCGCGGTTGTCACCGTGACCACCAGTGCCAGCGGCTCCAAGACCACAGTCATTTCCGCAGTGGGCACTATCGTGAAGAAGGCCAAGCAGTGACTGTCTGGACCGCGGGGTACACACTGGACTGCCCCACTCAGCATCACGCCAGGACTGAAGACTGTGGTCTCAAACTGCTCCCCACAGGGGCTGCCACCCTGTCCTCCAGACCTGGGCCAGCTCCGGTCCACTGCCCCCAAAAGGGCGTCTGCTTGGTGTTCCCACCGGAAGAAGGCCACCAAGGAGAGGGGCCATGGACGTGTGCATCTGTGTAGGGTTTACACCCAATTAAAGGGACATTTTTTAGTTCTTGGCGTCTCGGGTACAACAGCCCTCTCAACTGTCAGAAAGAGCAAAGGCCTGGGTGTGTGTCTTCTTGGTTACGACCCCTTCCTCGGGTGAAATGGGGTGATCAACAAACACTGATCGGGGTGCGGGGAGGGGGGTCCCTGGAAGTGACGCTGGTCATGACCCTCAGTGTGATGCCATCTGGAGCCACAGGGTTGTGAAATGCCTCCAGACAACTTAGCATCCCCATACCATTTCACTTAGCAGAGAGATGGGGAATGCTGGCCTGTGGTGGGAGGAGGGAGGTACTGGTGCCTGGGCCAGGGTCACCCAGCCCCTCAGTGCCCAGTGTGTGGCCAGCTGGCTCGAAGCAGCGGGGACGTGAATCACCTCCGCCCTGGCACAGCCACAGTTCATTGTTTACATGAAAGCCACTCCTGGGGGATCCCGGCACCCCGCCCTTCCTCTGCCTGTTATCTCTGCCCCACAGCCGCCTGGCAGCCCCCACACCACCCCTCCTGGGCCCCAGTCAGCTTCCCCCCGAGGCCGGCCTACAAGCGCCACAGGGCTTCAGGGCCTGAGGCTCTCAGACCACTCTCCTCCCTGTCAGCGGAAGAGCCAAGTGTCTGAGGAGGAAGCCGGGCTGTGAAGAGCAGACGCGATGCAGAGACATGGGCCTGAAACTGGCTGACCAGGGCGTCACGAGGTCCACACAGTGAAGTCCCCCCAAGGCTCGCCACAGAGCCACCTGCCTCCCCTCCACAAGCCCAGCAGAGGGGTTTGAGCCGGCTCCAGCCAGCGTAAGGACCATAGGTTGAAGCCCTGGCCTGGGGACCTGAAGAGCCCTCGGGAGCCTGTGTAGGAGACTCGATTATCAGCCCCATCTCTGAGCGGGCAGGAGTTGGGCTGCTGTGCAGGGCATGTGCGGCCCCGGCGGGAGGGCAAGTCTGTGGCTGGACGTGTCTCCTGTTGCAGTTTCGCTCTCCTAAATGCATTACTGTCCAGTCACAGCGGCCCCTCCCGCGGGTTTGCAGGGGCTTTCAGTTATACAGGAGGTTGTCCATCTTTGTCCCGGGGAAGAGGGGGTGAATCTGAACTGCTTGTCTTTGGGTTGGCAGCACAACTCCTTACCACTGAGCCACCGGAGCTTCCTCGTTGATCCTTCTGTTTTACCATCGAGTCACGAGCTCAGCGGACTGGAAATTTCGTGAGAGAACGTTGTCCATCTTTCTCCCGCGGAGCAGCTGGTGGATTCAAACCTTGTTCCTTTAAGTTAGCAGCACAACTCCTTACAACTAAGCCAGTAGCTCTAGTCCACCCAAATTCAAGGCCATTTGTAAGCTGAACCCGACTGAAGTGGTTCAAAGCCCTGGTTCACCGTTCCTCCATCAGGAGGACTTTGTGGACCTGGGAACCAGCGTCCCAAAAACAGTCCCAGAAGGTTCTCTGCCCTCCCATCAGGAAATGGGGACTTGCCCTCACCCTGTAGTCCCAGGTTACAGGTTGTGAACTTGACCCCCTCCATTGTGTTAGTGTGTGCTCTGTTCTGTCAAATACAGGTGGAAAAGCTCTGTACAGTGGCTCTGAGAATCACTGGGCAGATTTATGCAGACTGTAGAAACTGCAAGTCCTTGTTGTCAGCTAGTTTTCCTGTTCTAAACCCAGAGGCAGCACAGAACCAGAGGTGATAAAGCTGGCCGAGGTCACGAGGGAGTTGGGGACCCCAGGTGACCGGCAGAGTCCTTTCCACCTTGGGCTCTTCTGGCAGGATGGGGTGTCTTCCCTTTGCTTGTGAGACTCCCGTGGCTGCATCCTGTGCTGCAGTGAAGCTGGGGCGGACCCAAGACCATGGTCCCCGCGAGGGGACCAGGAGGCAGACAAGGCTGTGAGGTGGGCAGGCCAGAGTTGTGCTTGGTTTTCTCTAACATGCAACTGTAGGTCCTTGGTAATGACAGGCTGTTTGCATTTGGCTATTGAACTGAAAGTTGGTGGTTCAAATCCACGCAGCAGCTCCATGGAAGAAAGGTCGGGAAATCTGTTAATCTGAGATTGTTGTTATGTGCGGTCGAGTCACCTGCGTCTCACAGCGACCCTATGTACAACAGCCCTAAACCCTGCTCTATCCTGTGGCAACCTCACTGTCTCCAACACACCTACTCCAATTACCCCAGTCACTGAATCAATCCACTTCATAGAGGGTCTTCCTCTCCTGTACTGTCCCTTCACCCTCCCAAGCATGACGTCCCTCTCCAAGGACCAGTCCCTCCTTGCAACATGTCCAAAATAGGTCAGAAGAAGCTTTAGAATGCCTCCAAGGAGCAGCCTGGTTTAACCCTCTCCAGGATGAACCTGTTCATTTTCCTAGCAGTCCATGGAATATTCAGTACTCTTCTCCAGCACCACAGCTCAAAGGTATCAATTCTCCTATCCTCTTACACCAAAGAAAACCGTGCGGAACAGCACTGTTTACTAACACCTGGTTCACCTCAGGGGCAGCAGGTTTGCACTTTTATTTTTTTTTTTTTTTTTGCCTACAGCACCCGGTATTCCCAGGTGGTCTCCCATCCAAGTACTAACCAGGGCCGACCCTGCTTAGCTTCCGAGATCAGATGAGATCGGGCACGTTCAGGGTGATATGGCCGTAGACAGGTTTGCACTTTTAGAATGAGATTCACATCCACCTAAATGTCACTGAAGAGTCACTAGGCTGTGAACCAAAGGTTGGCTCAATCTATACAGAAGCACCTCGGAATAGAGGCCTGAGATCTGCTCCACGAAGTCATGGCCTTTGCTAATTCTCTGGAGAGAAATTTTACCCTGAAGCAGTCCAGGGGATGGCACAGGCCCTTCCTAAATCTCTTGACTTCTGTAGACTGACTGTCCCAGGATTCAGCTCAGGATTCATGTCCAGCTAGTCTGCCCACAAGGAGAATTCATCCTGTCTACAGCTTTAGCCAGGTCCTTGGACTTCACCAGACACTCCCCAACCCCTCCCGACCTCGGGTGGTAACACCCAGGACCCCTCCATGTCCCCCAGGTCAGATAGGTCCCTCTATCTTCAGATACTCCTCCTGCTCCTGCCCCAGTTCAGGCCTCGCTGGGTGCAGTGATCGCACTGCCCTCACCAGCCAGCGGGCCCTGGGTATCACAACAGCCTGAACGCGTCCACCCAGCCGCGCCCCAGAAGAAATCACTGGCAATCCGCTTCTGTGAAGATCACAACCAGAAAGCACTGTGGGCAGGTCTGCCCTTGAGCACTTGGGGTCGCCCTGAGTCAGAAATGACAGCAACAGGCAGGCCAGCCTGTACTCAGCCCCGTCCGGACTCCAGCCTCACCGTCAGAAGCGTCTGTACCACAGCTCTGGCCGTGGCAGTTACCTCCCACCGTCCACTGAGGAGCCTGCCAGACTCGTTTCAGATCTGATCCCTTCCTACTCCTCTGGGTGGGGGACTTGCTCCTTTCTTTCCCATTTGTCTCTGCACTTCCCACTTACAGACTTCTAGATCTACGTAGACACTCTTATGACCTAGTGGGAAGAAGCTCCCCTGCAATCCCAAAGGCACACAGTTTGAATACACCAGCTTCTCCATAAGAGAGAGAGGGGCCGTGTTCTCCTGTGCAGTTTTCTGCCCCTGAGAACCTGTTAGAAGGTCAGCTATGGGTCCATAGCAAATCTCCTGGGGAGCAGAGAGCACACAAGACCCTAGTTCCTGGCCAGAGGGGAGTAGGAGGATGGCCCCTGCCCCAGGACACTGGGCAGAAAGCGTCCATCTCACCAGCACCCTGCACAGTGCACCCATGAGCTTGAATGGCCAGATTCCCAACGGGCACTTTCAGGCTCCTGGAAGCTCCTGCTAGGTGCACTTTGTCTGTCACTTGTGTATACTGGCAAGTTTCTATAATGAAAAGATTGTTTTTCTATAATGAAAAGATTGTTTTTAAGAGCTGTGGAAGGGAAGCTCTGGTGGCCTAGTGGCAGGAAGCTGCACTGCAATCCCAGAGGTATGCTGTTTGAATCCACCAGATGGTGGAGAAGGAGGGACAATCTCCTCCTGTACCAGTCAGATCTGATTTGATGGTGCACATACATAAAATAAAAGGGGATTTTTAAAGAGAGAAAAAAAGCTGTGGAGCCACAGAAAAGATGTCAGAGATCTCCATGGGGGGTCAGGGTGATCCCCAGGAGAGGCTAGGAGTAGACATGTGGTGGATGCCTGTTGTGTTAGAAAGGAAACTCCAGGCAAGCTCTGGTGGCCTAGTGGCAAGAAGCTGCACTGCAATCCCAGAGGTGCACAGTTCAAATCCACCAGATGCTCCTGCTGGGGAAGGAGGAACAATCTCCTCCTGTACCAGTCAGATCTGATCTAACAGTACACACACACACACACACACACACATACACACACACACATAAAATTTAAAAATTAAAAAAAGAAGCCCCCCCAAAAAGGAAAGGAAACTCCAACTTTGAGTCTCAAGATTTAATCACCCTTTGAGATGCAACTATCAGTCTCTCCCTATCAGAACAGGGAAGAGGAGCGAAAAGCAAAAATAGTTGATCCAAAAGACTAACGGACCAAGCAGGCTTCAACTTCCATGACCCTGAGACCAGAAGCATAGATGGTGCCCCATTCCCACTGCTGGCCACTCGGAAAGGGAGCAGGGAGAAGGTCCTGAGTAGCGTCGGGGCAGAAGAAGAACAAAAACGTAAAGGCCAGATGTACCGCTCCACTAGAAATCAGTGAAGTCCTGAGACTAGGCTCTTAGTCACCATTTAAACTGGGAACTTACGTCATCCTGTGTCTCACCTTTCAACCAAGCAGGGGACCTGTCAGGTGGCCAGTACCACCGGAAGCACGCACTCCTTACAGCAGTCAGCTCTGTAGGGTCACCAGAGCAGCACTGGCCCTAGAAGGCAGAGGATTCATTAATGGAAATGAGAATTGGAAGGTGAGAAGAGTGTGATTGATTACATTGTGGTCATTGTAACTAAAGTTATAAAACAGAATGTGTTAATTCCAGTACAAAGTATAATAAAGCTAGATGTATAATAAAAAAAAAAAAAGCCAGAATGTGTGTGCATGCTTGAGTGGAAATATAAATTGGCCTTAGAAACTTTCACTCAAATCACAATACAAAATAAAATGCCCAGCCCTCTGTCCATTGAAGGAGGAGCCCGACAGGCATAGTGCATGACAGGTGGGCTGCTGAGTAAAAGGTAGGTGATTGGAATCCGTGGGGGAGTGAGGCAGTCTGCTCCCGGTAAGATTCACAGCCTTGGCCGCCCGACGGAGGGGCTCCTGGGCAGCCTGACAGAGGGGTCCTGATGGCACCATGAGCTGGAATCCACTAATGGCAGTGGGTTGGGTTTGGTTTTGGGGTCCACTGGAAGCACCTAGAAACAACAACACCCTAGCCTCGTTGAGTACCTTCCTAATACCATCTTCACTAAAAGGAGCCAAAGCTTCATAAATTGCTGTGATCCCAGGTCTGGGCCAAAGGCCTGAGCAGGACTAAGGCAGTTTATTCTAGAAAAACAGAGCATTTCAGAAGAGATGCCCGGCCAGCCAAATCTGGTTCTAAATGAAGATTAAGAACTTAATAGATTTGAGAATCTACTCACCCACAGTAATATTTTAAAAAGAAAGAAAAGAAGACATCGACTTACTACTGCTACACCTGTTTTGGATTTGAATAGTCTGTCAACTCCTTACTCTGTAACTGGTTATTTAGGGATTCCTGGGGTGTTCTGGTGATGTAGTCCACAGGGAATTGGGCTGCCAACCACCAACGGCTCCTGGATTCACAACCTCCAAAAGCGCACAGAAGGATCAGCTAGAAATCAGTTCAGCCTGGACAACAAGTTTGAGATTTTGCATTATTGGAGACGCGCAGATGGACTGACTCAGTGACTGGGGTAGTGGGGGTAGGTGTGTCAGAGACCATAAGGTTGGCTCAGAATAGAGCAGAGTTCAGAGCTGTTGTACACAGGGTCGCTGTGAGTCACAAGCGACTCGACGGCACATAACAACAGTTCAGTCTCAGTTGATGGAAATTCTTTTTTAAAAAATATCAGAACATCTATGAAACGTAGAAGATTGAAACGGAAACTCACCATCTGTTAGTCTAAAGAGATTTCTTTTAATATAGTGGGAATTTTATTTTTTTGTTTTTATTGAGTGGGAACACAGCAAAACATACAGATCCTACATGTGTCGTTCTACACGTAGCCTGAATACGTTCCAGAAGGCTTCTCTCCATCACAAAGAGGGGGATGCGTTTTCACCGTGGGAGACTGAGGGATCACTTTCTCACCCAGCCCATAACCAATAATGAGCACCTCCCGTGACCACACTGGTCGAAAAGCTTCATCAGGCCTTTAGACCTCACTGCCAGCTGTAAAACAAACCCCAGATCTTCTGCCATTGTGTCAACTCGTTCAAACCCCAAGTGGTACAGAGTGGAAGCTAAAGAAACCAGTCACCACCTCAGGAGCTGAGTGGGCTTGAACCTACAGCCTCTAGGTTAGTAATGTTGTTGTTTGATGCCATCGAGTCATAGACAACTCATAGCGACCCTATGAGTGACCGGTCTGAGCACTGTTCGTACATAGAGTTTCCGGAGGCAAGCCATTTCGGAAGTGGATGCCGCTCCTGCTTCCAGGCTTGCTTTAGTCGGGAAGCTCCAGCCAATACTGTCCACCATGGGTACCCGTTACCACGATTGGCACATCACTGTCACAGGCTTCAGCATCACAGCAACCACGAGTTACCTCTGTACAGCAGCACACAGACCAGTGCTATACCACCTGTGCCACCTAGGAAGCTTCACTTCCAGTCTGCAGGTGGATGAGACAACTGGTCCAATGACCCTAGGAGGCAGACAATCCAGAGGTGGCCATCCCACAAGGTAACAAGCAGCCTTCGATCGGGAGGAAACCCACTGGGACATGAAGGTGTGGAACACTATTTAGGGTTAGAGAAAAATATCATCTACAAAGAGTGACTTCAGTTACGGCCAAATTCTAAAGACAGTTTCGGTGACTCTTTGGGACGTTTAAAATCTGAATAACGACTGCACCACCAATGATCATGAATGCCCAGAACATCTAATTTCTTTTTTTTCTAAAACCTGTGGATATGCTCAACAGTACTTTAGAACAACAACAAGAACCTGTGGCCCTCTATTGAGAGGTGGGAGAGGGCTCTCACCTGGCACAGCCCTCGGGCTTCCCTCTGGGTGAACTGCCCACAGCACTTCCCCAGATTGTCCCAGCTTCTCCCACAAACACTATGGGAGTCGGCAAACCCTGTCTATTTTATAGATGAGAAAACTGAGGCTCAGGGAAGCCCTGTGACAATCTCCCAGAACAGCCTTTGTCCAAGCATTGAGCAGGGGACCCTGTCCCACTTGATGGAGACAAAAAGACATCACCAGAGTCCCTAGACCAGTGGAAAATGCCAGGAGAAAGTCATGCCCTGAGGGCTGTGAAGACACATGCCCCAACCTTGGCCGGGGGCACTGAGGTCAATGAAGGCGTCCTGGACCCCTGGGCGTGGGCACCTAGGCTTCAACAGGGAGGATGAAACAGGCACAAGGAGGCAGGGGCCTCAGCACTGGTCGGTGCTGACAGCAGGTGGGATCCAGAAGGGGCATCTGGGATGTGGAGCTGAGGGCACCCAGGCCCTTCACAGGTGTAACCGGTGCAGAGGAAGCAGACAAGCAGCTCAGAGTGCTGGCTCCACGCCCTCCCGCCCAGTTCACAGTATTGTCCAGGGTTGGAGGAAGTTTAAGTAACTAGTTCAGATCACAGCAGACCCCGCCTTCTCAGGTCCCCCCCCAACATGTCATGGGTCGTGGGGAGCTCACGGGGCCTAGGAAGACAGAGCAGGGCTTGGGGGTGGCATCCCTAGCCTTGGCTGCCCCCTCCCGCGCGTGGCACGGGCTGGCCAGGGGCCCAGGGCCACAGGAGGAGGGCGCAGCCGGGGGCGGGGGCGCCGAGGGCCGGGCGGGGAGCGTACGAGGCGGCTCCTCCCCGCGCCCCGGCCGTGGAGCCTGGAGCGGGGCGCCGGCACCCTGTTCCGGGGCGGGCCGGGTGGCGGCCGCTCCTGTCCCGACAGGTGCGCGGCGCGCAGGAATGCGGGGCCTGACTCACCAGCGCCTCCTGCCTACCTGCCCGCCCGCCGCCCATAAAGCCCGCCCGCTGGCTGCCGCCGGCCCTCCCGCCCTGCAGCCGGGACACCGCGCGCCCCGCAGCCCGGAGCCGCCGGGCAGCCCACCCAAGGTAGGCGCTGCCACGCCAGGGCAGCCAGCTGAAGGGGGCGGCCAGGGCCCCGAGCCGGGAGCCGGGTGCCAGGAGTGGAAACCAGGGCGGAACACGGGTGCCCACTCAGCACGGGCATCAGCCGGGAGCTGGGGAGCAGACCTGATGCCTTTTGTTTCCCCAGCCCTTCCACTCCTGGAGGCTGATGTGCCCTGTCCAGGGCAGGTGTCTAGCTTTCCGGGATGTGCTGAGACAGCCGAGAGCAGAAGGTGGGGACTGGATAAAGCAGACCACCGGGCAGGGGCAGCTGGAGAAGGCAGACCCTGGGTAGGGGCAGCAGGAAGAGGCAGACACCCCAGGCTGGGCAACAGGAGAAGGCAGATCCCAGAAGGCAGATTCCTGGGCAGGGGCAGCTGGAGAAGGCAAACCCCCAGCAGGGGCAGCTGGAGAAGGCAGACCCCCAGCAGGGGCAGCTGGAGAAGGCAGACCCCCAGCAGGGGCAGCAGGAAGAAGCCTGGGGTTGGTGGAAGTGGAGAAGTGAGCAGAGGCAGGGCAGCTGGAAGGGACCCCACAGGATTTTCTGCGGTTTTCAAAGTTCGGGGAGCAGCTACCCAGAGATGTGAGCACCCCATTTGGCTGGAGGGGAGCTGGAGTCTACTCAGGCCGGGGAGTCCCTGACTTTCCTCTGCCAGCAAAGCCCTCGCCAGCCGCCTACCAAAGTTACTGAAGACACCATTCCTTCCAGAAGTTCTCTTGACCTCACCCAGCAGCCCTGGAGGCTGTGCCCACTGCTGGCACCCCTCCAGCCTGCTCCCTTCACCACCTACTCCCTTCCCTGCCTACCTAGAGTGGGCCAGCAGTGTGGAGGCAGGGGCTGGCCCCAGTCTCCTTGTCCCCACCACACCCTCGGTGCAGCGGGCCACATGGTGTCTCCACCGCCCCCACAGAGCTGGACATGGGTGCTGAGGGTCTCTGGGGAGGGGAGTTGGGCAATGGAAGAGGCAGGGCATCAGGGAAGGTGTATGACCCCAGGTTTTGATCTCCCTGATGACAACTGCCAAGGACTGAGGGCCCCATATTCTCACAACAGCTGACCCTGAGGGTGAGGAGCCCTTCAGGGTGAGGACTTGGGCCAATCAGAAGGGACAACAGTGCCCCAAGTAAAGGTCCATTGGATAAGAAGGGAGAGTGAGTGTGGGGACACCCCAGCCTGTTCAAGCAAATGAGTCACAGTGAGTGGTCCGTGGTGGCCTGGAGGGGAAGGGGGATGGGCTGTGCCCAGCCCGTCTCTGTCACCCCTCACATATGCCCACAGCCCTTTTATGTGAAATCTCACCATTTCTATCTAACACTGGCAACCACTTTTAAAACATTCTGAAATATTCTGAGTCCAAGAGGCAACTCTTGAGTGTGTATCTGGCTCCTCTTGGCATTTTGTAGCCGCAAGGGGTATCCTGGGAGTTCTTGGGGTGGGGAGGATGCCTGTCCAGGCTCTTCCAAGGGCCCCAAGGGCCTTGTCCCTCAGTCTCCACATCTGTGGCCTGGGGAGAACAAAAGTGTGTGTACCCAGTCCGGTGCTGATTCAGTAACGGGGGGTGTGGGGCATGCAGGGACACTCACTGGCTGTGGAGTGGGGGTCCCCAGTGGCAGAACCCACTGCGTACTGGCCTGAGGACGTGGGGAGGGTGAGCCGAGTTGGGCTTAGCCCCAGCTGCACTGTGTAATGGTGCCCCAGGGGCCGAGTCTGCCCGGCTGAGCATGTGGGTGTGGTGCCCACACCCCAGACTGCAGGAAACTTCCTTCCCCCAAGGAGCCCCACCTCAGAGGTTCAGGGCACCTGGCTCAGAGCAGTCGTTAGGTGGAGCGCTGGTCCTACCTGTGGGTGTGCCAGCGTTGCTGAACACCTCCTGGGCCAACCTGCCTTTGCAGAGGGAGACAGTATCTGGCTGCTGGGTACACACAGGTCTCCCGTGCCCACAGGCCCAGAGGATGCCCCTGTCCCATAAGCCCAGGACTGAGAACAGATTGAAGTGGGAGGACTAGCGGTGGAATTCAGGTGGGAGGGCCTGGCATGGTCTTAGGCTTCTTGGAAGACTGCGCCTGGAGAAAGAGGCAAGGCCGTAACCTTTGCCCTCTGCAGTGCCGAGCTGGCCGGTCCCTTCTCCCTGGAGGCCTGTGGCGTCCCCACTGTACCTGCTGAGTGGAAATGTTTTGATAGACAGCTCAGGCGCAGGGCGGCTGACTCAGTGAGTCTAAGTACAGGAAGGGGCTTGTAGTCTGCTCTGGGCTGAGAAGAGGGGCCTGCCGGGAGAGCTCAAGGCCCTGGAAGCTCCACTCTGAAGAACAGCAGGGGATTCAAGTCCCACCTTGCCTCCCCATTTCCAAGGCTTCCGGCCTCTCTCCCCCCAGGCACACCACCTTCATCCAGGAGAAGGGGGCCAGGACAGAGAGGTTCAGGAAGTAGGGGTAGACCTGCTGGGGTCTGAAAGGCAGAAAGAGAATAAAACCTGCTCTACCCTCAGGAAACCAGTACTGAGAGGCCAGCCTTGGTATAATCTCATAGCCCGGAGCCCTGAAAGGTAGGAGTGAGGCCTCCTTGGGCAAGTGCAGGCCTGTAGGACGTCCAGGCACACGCAGCAGGAAGACAGTAACTGGGCTGGACAGCCTTGGTGGTGTCCCTGATCCACACAGAGCCTCAGTTTCCACACTGCCCTGTGGGAATGGCTCCGAGGGGTGGGCCTGGCCAGTGAGGCCCTCAGACGTGGACTGTTGTGTTACAGAAGGAAGACGATGGGGGCGCTGGGTCCCAGCCCGTGGACCAGGCTGCTGCTGGCTGCCCTGCTGAGCGTCAGTATCCCCGGCCATGTCGGTGAGTGAGGCAGGGACCACCTTTCAGGTGTGGTCCTCACGCGGGGTCACCCCTCAGTCTGCCATCCAGCAAGCCTTGAGGAAGGAAATTCTGTCTGGAGTAGAAAGGAAACTCAGAGGACAGCAGAGGAGAGAGAATTTGGAGTAGAGACCTCTGACCCCACTTGCTGGCTGTCCCTCCAATCAGTTCCTGCCCTCAGCTGAGGTCATGTTAGGGTCTTGAGCTAGAGCTTGGGAACATTTACACCATGGAAACTGGCAAACACTAACAATCAGGGTTCTCCACCTCCCTCCTGTCCAGGCTTTTTTTAAAACATGAAAGTGTGTAATTCTGTGTTCTTGCTGATTTGATCCCTATTGGAGACAGACCGATCGATAGACTTCTTGTTGATGATACTATTTCCAGCAGAACATAAATTCAACAGTGTCACATGCTTGACCGAGTGGCCGTCACTCCCCTTTTCTGAGCTAAGCCTTCACTAACGGGAGCTCTCTGCCCCCTAAGGTCACTGTGTAATCATCTGAGCTCTTGGTGTGGATTTGAGGAGCCTGAGGACATAGCGGGCTAAGTGTTATGTCACTAACCGAAAGTCAGTGACTGAGCCCAGCTCACTCCTCTGGAGACAGAGGAGGCCGTCTGCTCCCGCCGGAAACCTGATGGGGCAGTCTGGTTCTGTCTTGACAGGCGGCTGTGAGTCATATTCGACTTCCGGGCACTGACAATGTGTTAGGTTTTGTTATGGTTATTTGTCAATCAGTTTGATCTCCTGTGAAACCAAAACCAAATCCAGCGCTCTGGGTTGGGTTCCGCTCCCAGAGATCTTCCAACAGGGTTTCCGAGGCTGTAACTCTTAATGGGAGCAGACGGCCTCATCCTTCTCGCAGGGCCCCTGGTGGTGTCTTAGAAACCGCTGACCTCTCTGTGTTGATAGAGCTCAGGGCATAATCATTTTAAAGCTATAACGGCCTGGGGGGTAAGGAGTTTCACTGCCAACCCAGACAGGTGGTTTGAATCCACTAGTACTCCTTGGAGAAAGAGGGCAATCTCTTCTATTACAGCCTCTGAAAACCTGTTGAAAGGTCAGCTATGAATTGGCTCCAAGGCATTTAACAACAACGTTCTTAAACCCTGACCAGCCTAGGGCCTTCCCCCACTGCATACACTAGCTGCACATAGTAGGTCCTTACTGTATTTTTTGTTTTAAATTTTATTTTTATTTTCTTTTATTGTTGTGTGTATGTGTGCCGTCAAATTGGTACAGGAGGAGATTGTCCCTCCTTCTCCAGCAGAGCATCTGGTGGATTCGAACCATGCACCTCTGGTATTGCAGTGCAGCTTCTTGCCACTAGGCCACGAGAGCTCCCTGGTCCTTAGTGTATTTTTAGTGAAATATAACCAAAGTGAATCCACGTCACCTTTGATGAACACACTTGAGTCTTACCTCCTTCACTCACTGAGAACCTCGTGGATGCCACATCCTGGGATCTGACAGTCAATTGCTGTCAAGCTGATTCCAAATTGTACCTCAGGCTAGAACAGCGTTCCGGGGTGAGCTGTTTGAAGTGGGTCTCCAGGCTTTTCTTCTGAGTGCTTCCAGGTAGACTCAAACTAAGAGTCTTTCAATTAGCAGCTGAAGGCATTAACCATTTGCACAACCCAAGAACAGGCCCAGAGAAATAAGAAAAACCCAAGTGGTCTTGTCTCCACTAAGTTTCCAAAAGTGTGAGCTTTGAAGAGAATGAACAGAGACTGCCCATCTTTCCCCTGTGGAGTGATTGGTGGATCCGAACTCCCAACTTTTCAGTTAGCAGCCCAACACCTTCTACGCAAGGCCACCAGAGCCCTTAGGCCCAGGGATCGCTGTGGTCAGCAAGGCAGTGAGTCCTCTGGCTCCGGTAGAAGCTTGTGTGACAGAAAAGGTCGCGCTGTGATGGGAGGGTCCTGGAGGTCTGGGCACGGTGGGCACAGCTCATGCCAGGCCTGGGAACTCTGCAGGATCTGAGGGGCTCTCAGGCGAGGAGAGCAGCAGGATTCCCAGTCCCTACCTTTCCCTTTGGACTTGAGTGGAAGCCTGCAGGTTTGAGGCCTGGCTCTGTCAACTCTTACCTGGGTTAGCTGTGTGTGGCAGACTGTGTCATCCCTGGGCCATTCACCTCTGTAAAATGGGGAGAAAAGCCCACCTCTCTAACATGAGGTGCATATAGAAATGGCATGGTCATTATTGAGGTCCACCCCTACGTGTCCACCTTCCCTGCCCTCAGCGAACCGCTGCAAGAAGGCCCAGGTGAAGAGCTGCACCGAGTGCATCCGAGTGGACAAGGACTGCGCCTACTGCACCGATGAGGTGAGGACCACCGGCCCCTGGAGCCCAGTCCCCTCCCCAGCCCAGATGGCCCTGCCTTGCTGGGCCACCCCTGATGCTGGTTGGGTCTCCACATGCCACTGTCTCAGACCAGGTGGGTGTGGGAGAATCAGAATGTTCTAGAACATTCTTCTGGAAAGAAAACCTAGGGGTTCGGGCAGCTGGGGATGAGCACAGTCCCTGCTGACCCTTCCTTCTTCCGGCCAGCTGTTCAAGGAGCGGCGTTGCAACACCCGGGCGGAGCTGCTGGCTGCAGGCTGCAGGCAGAAGAGTGTGGTATTCATGGAGAGCTTCTTGAATATCACAAAGGTGCTGGCTGAGGGATAGAGGGAGGCGGGCCCTCCAGACCCGGGGGTGTGCTGTGTCCCTTGGCTGGGCTGAGAACTTCCCCGTCACACTAGCTGTCCACAACCTCCCCAACAGGGCAACCAAATAGACACGACCCTCCAGCGCAGCCAGGTGTCACCCCAAAAGCTGTGGGTCCGGCTGCGGCCGGGCGAGGAGAAACACTTCGCGCTGGAGGTGTTCGAGCCGTGGGAAAGCCCGGTGGACTTGTACATCCTCATGGACTTCTCCAACTCCATGTCCGACGATCTGGCCAACCTCAAAAAGATGGGGCATGACCTGGGTATGCTGGCTAGTGGGGACAGGACCTGGGAAGAGAGGGGATGGGGACAGCTGCACCCAAACCACAAGGGAGACAGAATGTCTGAGTCCCTCCAACCCCAAGAAGACCCTCCCCATCTTCAAGGGAGAGTCCCTGCTAGACCTCGTCACTGTGGACTTAGGGAAGGCCAACGTGGTCATCAGAGACCTCTGACCCCAAAAAGGAGGGACCCCCTTCAGGAGAAACACTTAGCAGACAGAGATGGGTTTAGCTTCCTAGCACCTCCACTTGCTAGCAGCCCGACTCTGGGTCCCCTGAGTCTGTAAAGAGACCAGGTCTCTTAGGAATAACATCCAGTCTGCAGGGCTGGCAGGAGGTGGTTGTCCCTCTTCCGCCTGCCCCAAAGGTCTACTGTGGAGACTTAGTATCCCTAAATGGCACAAGTCAAGCACCCACCTGATTGGTGTTCAGGTCTACCCATGGGAGAAAGGCCTGGCCACCCCTTCTCCAAGCCAGCCACTGAAAGCCCTACTAAGTCCAGTTCTTCTCTGACACACATGGGGGTACCACGAGTCAGCCAACTCCATGGCAGCCTGTGGTGGTCACACTCGGTCATCAGGCCCCCTTTCTCCTGTGGGTGTCTAGCCCGGGTCCTGAGCCAACTTACAGGCGACTACACCATCGGCTTCGGCAAGTTTGTGGACAAAGTCAGCGTCCCCCAGACGGACATGAGGCCCGAGAGGTGAGGGTTCCAGGTGGGCAGGGGTCCTGGTCCGGTGACGCATCTCCTCAGTCACTCAGACCCCTTGAAATGCTTCTGATGGTGGAAATGAGTAGAGGGGACACTGGCCAGGCAGAGGGGGCAGTGAGGCTGGCCCTGGGTTCTGTGGGGTCTTCTCCCTGCTGACGAGCTGTCTCTCTCCTCTCCTCTCTCCTCTCCTCCCCTCTCTCTCGATTCCATCCAGGCTCAAGGAGCCCTGGCCCAACAGTGACCCTCCCTTCTCCTTCAAAAACGTCATCAGCCTGACAGATGATGTGAACGAATTCCAGAGTAAACTGCAGGGCGAGCGGATCTCGGGAAACCTGGACGCTCCAGAAGGGGGCTTTGATGCCATCCTGCAGACGGCCGTGTGCACGGTGAGTACCGGGCCACTGCCAGCTGGGCAAGCTGGCACCTCCTGTGCAGGGGCTGAACTGCCCAGAGGACACACAGTCCCCGAACCACCTCCAGGCCCCTAATAAACCCAGATTCTCTCGACTCAAAAACACAACTAGTTTTCATCGGAGTCCACTCACAGGCCACCCTTTTTTGGTATTCGGAGGCTGAACATCACACGGGAGGAAATTGTTCCTTTCTCCCACGAAGTCGGTAATGACTTTGAACCACTAGAGAGGTACAGCCTTGGGATTAGCAACACAATACCCTACGAATTACGCCCCCAGAGCTCCCTGGGGGGGGTCCCTAAATTATAATCCTGGTATAGTTGTACTGGAAGCCAAGGTCCCCAGTCTGAGCTATCACAGGGCACGGGAGGACTTTGAGGTTCTGGAGTCTTCTCTGCCCTGAAATGAGATCGGCCTCCCAGCCAATCCCCTTACAAAGGCCAGTCTCCCAGGACCCTGCTCCCAGGACCTCCTCCAGCTGTGCTTGATCACGAAGCAGAACCCTTCTTTTTACATGAACACTCTTTTTGTTGTTGCTGAAAACAATGTAAACTATATTCCAGACAACTTAGGGAGAAAAAAAACACAAGTGGCCAATCATTTCACCCCATCCACTTGCATTTCTCTTTTCCAATTGGAATTTATAATTCAGAAATGTCCTTTTTTCCCCCTCACTGTCTTTGGCATAAACATTTGCTCTTATAATCCACAGTTTTCCAAATCACTACCTTTTTCTATTATTATTAATTTTTTTATTTTAATGAACATTTACAGAGATTTTGGATTTCCATTCATTAATTGTTGCACTTTTCTCCCTGCCCACCCCTCCCCCTCAGTTTGCTCCTCTCCTTGAAAAGTAAAAGAAAAATCCCGACATTGGCATGCAATCCTACCCCCCTCCAGATACACTCCACTATGCAACCTTCATTCTGGACTCTTGTCATAACCATAATACCCAATCACATATCACTTTTAAACTGTTCTCTTCCTCATCTGTTTCAATGCAGTATACATCATTTATCCAATTTTTCTCAGTCTCATCCCAGTCCTGATGTCAGGCCCATTGTACAACAGTGGCCCTATGCAGTATTTGTCCTTTTGTGATACCTTTGTTTTTTAATTAATCACTGGACATATTCCTTATCAGTGATCTTTTTACTCGGCATTTTGCCTTTAAAACAATAGCAAAAAATTACTGTATAACTATTCAGAGCATTTACAACACACGTCTGGCTGTAACAAACCCTAACGCAGGTCAAGGTGACAGTGATGTTGGCTGTAACGGTCACGTGTCAGGTTGACCTTGGCCCATGAGTCTTAGCAGTTATGGCTTCATGTGATCTGGCAGCTGTGCCCTAAAATAATTTGTCAGTTATGTCACTCTGCAGTTTGACAGGGATGTCATGATGTAGTCACTTCCCTTGCATGATCTAGTGTGACCCAGTGCCAGTTTCCGCCTAGCGACCTGGTCTCTGGGATATAATGTTATGTGGACAAGTGAGGAGAGGGTGCCCACATCTGGGCCTTTTGGAACTGGCCTTTTTCCATTTACTATTATATGGTGTACAGGTTCCTATGCTGTGAAAATGTTCCCACTCGGCCAGCTGAGAGCTTCAGAGAACATTGGAGGAGCCTGGCTCAGGCCTTCCCTTCCTTCCAAGGCAGGCTGGCTTGATCTTCCCTGGGCCCTCTGTGCCTGCAGACCATGCGTTCGCTGCCCATCCCCATGGCTAGTGTCCAGCTTCTATCACCATCCGTCCCCTGCATTATCGTGTATGACGGCAGTGTAGGGGTGAACCATACGTCACTGTCTATGATGGTTATGGATTCTTGAGCCATTGCCTGGCAGAGCCACTTATTGGAGTCCACTACCACTGCCGTGTGGGATACCATGATGAAGGTCCTCAGCATCCCTCCTGCCCTCCCTAGGAGAACATTGGCTGGCGCACAGACAGCACCCACCTGCTGGTGTTCTCCACTGAGTCAGCCTTCCACTACGAGGCTGACGGTGCCAATGTGCTGGCGGGCATCATGAGACGTAATGATGAGGAGTGCCACCTGGATGCCACGGGCACCTACACCCAGTACAAGAGCCAAGACTACCCCTCTGTGCCCACACTGGTGCGCCTGCTAGCCAAGCATAACATCATCCCCATCTTTGCTGTCACCAACTACTCCTACAGCTACTACGAGGTAGGAGGGGTCAAAAGGGGCAGAGAACCCATCCCTTCCTTCCTCTGGCTTGGTTCTCCAGTGCTGCAGTAACAGAAATACCACAAGGGGATGGTTGAGGTTTTTTAAAAAATTTATTATTAATTTCAATGAAAATTTACAGAGAATTTGGGTTTCCATTCATTCATTGTTGCACTTTTCACCCCTCCCAACCCTCCCCCCAGTACACTGGAAAAGTAAAAGAAAAATTCTTTCATTGTTTTACAAACTCTCCCCCAGGTCCACTTCACTATGCAGCCTTCACTTTGGACTCCTGTCATGACAAAAATACCTAATCACATATCCCTTTAAAACGGTTTTCTCCCTCATCTGTTTCAATGCAGTATACATTATTGAACCCATCTTCCTCAGTCTCCTCCCAACCCTGAGGCCAGTCCTGTTTTACAATCGTGGCACCATGCAGTATTTGTCCTTTGGTGACGGAGAAACTTCACTCAGCATAATGTCCTCCAGGGTCACCCATGTTAAATAACATTGCATGAGCTCCTTGTTTTTCAGTGCAGCATAGTATTCCATTGTGTGACTATACCAGAGCGTCTCTATCCATTCATTTGTTGATGGGCACTTGGGTTATTTCCAACTTCTTGCTATTGTGAACAAAGCTGCGATAAACATCGGTGTGCATAAGGGGATGGTTTTAAAGAACAGAAATTTATTTTCTCCCAATTTAGGAGCCTGGAGGTCCATATTCAAAGTCCAGCCCTAGGGAAGATATTTCTCTGTATGGGTTGCACTCCTTGGTAATCTTCACGTGTTCTCTGTCTTACCTCTGCTTGTTCTGCCTTCTCTGTGCCCAAATGATTCCTTTTATATCTCAAAAGCGATTGGTGTAGGACACACCCTATTGATTTGGCTGCATCAATGTGATGAACAGCCTACACTCAGATGGAGTTATGTCTTTGTGTATTTTCAGCCCAGACTCACTGTCATGTGTCAGTTCTGACTCATAGAGACCCTGTCTCAAAAGAACCCTCAATGTGTCCTGTTGGAACCAACTCAGCTGACACTCTAGTGGGTTTTCAGAGGCTGTAAGCCACATAGTAGGTCACCCATCTTCCTTCCTCTGTGCTGCTGGTGTTTTCAAACCATCACAGGAGTGTAACCTTTGGGTTAGCAGAACCATTATACCTCACTCCATGTTACAGTCTGCTCTGCTGTGTCATACTCCACTCTACTATTCTATACTGCACTCCGCTGTGTTACACTCCACTCCACT